GTAAACTCAGAGCCTTAAGGGCCAGCACATTTCAAAAACTGTAGGCCCAGTGGAAAAACTGTAGGCCCTGTGGAAAAACTGTAGGCCCAGTTGAAAAACTGTAGGTCCATTTGAAAAACTGTAGGCCCTGTGGAAAAACTGTAGGCCCATTTGAAAAACTGTAGGCCCAGTTGAAAAAGTGTAGGCCCATTTGAAAAACTGTAGGCCCTGTGGAAAAACTGTAGGGCCTGTGGAAAAACTGTAGGCCCAAACATTTTAGCTGAAGCAGGGAGACATACACTTGCAATTTAAATTACAAAACACAATCAGTCAACCAGAAGCCTTGACAGCTATCACACCGAGTTCCCACAGACGCAGTGGTGATAGATGAAGCCTACATTTATCAGGAAATCATTAGCTTGTAAAACATCTTCGCGACTACATGTCAAACACCATTTGAAGGGTCTAATCCTACCACTTATAAACATGAAAGTTATGTTTATCACATTTCTTAAATAATGCTTAATAAATAATTACTTTAACAAACTGCAGGCCATAAGGGCTTGCTGAAATTTAAAACTATCAGCCTGAGAACAAATCTGTTGGTCTCGGACCTATGGGCCAGCCGATGTCTATTTCAAACTGTGACCCAGTGCATCCTATAGCGTGTCCTTGTCACATGATCACCACTAAGAGCAGAAACTCCAGCATTACAACATCTACACTGGAATGGACACAAACCCTGGAGCGGAGTACCCCTTTAATAGCTCATTGAAGAAACAAGCATACCTGCACAACAGGAGAGACTAGTCCCCTACAACAAGTCTGACATAGCATTCTTCATCTCTTTAAAGTAATATCTCTATAAGAAATGATGGACACAAGACCCTAGAGCTGGAGGGAGAGAAATAGCTTGTGCTTGAGACAACAGGATCTTACTGACCAGCAAAGTGTAACACTCTCTGTCTTGTGTTACAGAGTCTCTGGGACAATATCTTCAGATGCAAAATGCTATACAAGATGTCTACATGGTTTTCAAGAAGAATTTTCTACTATTTGATCAGGAGCAAGTCTTTGATCCAAGTGATTTTGATGTCTTAAACAGCAAAAAGGTGCTGACAAAAGGTCAAATGTATTATTGACCACAAAAAGGGCCTTAGCTTAAATGTTAAAACAAAAATCAGGTTCAAGGTTAAAGGTTAAAGGTTAAAGGAAGCTTCCATTGTAAGGAACACAGCTTTTCACATTTGTTTTAATTCTAATTTTGTCATCCAAAAAACTATTTAGACAGACGAAAAATAGGACGAAAAATAGGACGAAAAACCTAATCTACATGATCAGTGCACACACAAGACTGTAAGAGAATTTTAACATATGCCTTGGATAAGAGCCTTCATACTAACAATCATGTAGATCCGCTTCATGTCAAAGATTTGTTCAAGTAAATCAAAGTAAACATTCAACATTCTCCATCCATCACTACACACAACAAGGGGACTTGATAAACATCCACATTCAACGTTCAATTGATGACGATGAGAAACAAAGTCTCCAAATATAAAAAACTAGATTTAGGAAAACATGAAATTCTCTCCTCCCTACAACAACACTGGCAATTTGTGAAGCTGAGCACTCAGTGTTAAAGCAGGTGATCCACCCGAGTGAACCCCTTCTTACTGTCATACGAAGCTCTGGTGTGGACACTCAGTGTTAAAGCAGGTGATCCACCCGAGTGAACCCCTTCTTACTGTCATACGAAGCTCTGGTGTGGACACTCAGTCTTAAAGCAGGTGATCCACCTGAGTGAACCCCTTCTTACTGTCATACGAAGCTCTGGTGTGGACACTCAGTGTTAAAGCAGGTGATCCACCCGAGTGAACCCCTTCTTACTGTCATACCAAGCTCTGGTGTGGACACTCAGTGTTAAAGCAGGTGATCCACCCGAGTGAACCCCTTCTTACTGTCATACCAAGCTCTGGTGTGGACACTCAGTGTTAAAGCAGGTGATCCACCTGAGTGAACCCCTTCTTACTGTCATACGAAGCTCTGGTGTGGACACTCAGTGTTAAAGCAGGTGATCCACCTGAGTGAACCCCTTCTTACTGTCATACGAAGCTCTGGTGTGGACACTGAGTAACAGGCACACATTATCTCTACCAACACAATATGCTGCATAAATGAATGTTCATGTTGCTCAGGTCAGTGATAACAATATTATTTAGGAAACTATTTCTGTCATGAAAGATTCCAGGTCATGTGTGTCATGATTAGAGCCAATCAAAAATTACAAATTCATGAAAATTGCATCTATGGTAGTTTTAGAATTGAAAGGGTCACTAGGCTCAAGCCTTCAGAATTGGCTGGCTTTTTCAAGGTGTTTCAGGTTGAGCAGTGGGCAGGCTGACTGTCCTAAACATGACACAGCATGTCCACTCCTCGTCCAGTGTCACATCCTCTCAGTTGCTTCAGCCAGCCAATCAGCTCCAAGCAGCTGATGAGCCCATGGGGGCAGTGTCACGTCCTCTCAGTTGCTTCAGCCAGCCAATCAACTCCAAGCAGCTGATGAGCCCATGGGGGCAGTGTCACATCCTCTCAGTTGCTTCAGCCAGCCAATCAACTCCAAGCAGCTGATGAGCCCATGGGGGCAGTGTCACGTCCTCTCAGATGCCTCAGCAAGCCAATCAGCTCCAAGCAGCTGATGAGCCCATGGGGGCAGTGTCACGTCCTCTCAGTTGCCTCAGCCAGCCAATCAACTCCAAGCAGCTGATGAGCCCATGGGGGCAGTGTCAGCACAGAAGCCAGAGCCTAGTGCTCCTTTAATGAATTTATGCTACTTAAGCATATAATCATTGTACAAACAAAAGCAAATATGAAAACATAAAACATAACTGAGTTTCTAATCCAAATATTATAGGTTTGTTTTAAAACAGTTTTAGAAGCTCAGTCGTAACAGTTGCTATTTTCTTTTCCTGACATGCTCATAACACACATTGTGGCCATATATGTTGCGTGGTGATTCTTATATTCATGTGCAAAGATGACCTTAAAATATAAATATTTCAACATGCATATTTCTTTGCATTAACTAGAAATTGGGATTAAATTGGAATAATTTCAAAGTTTGACAACAACTGGCTGTACAGTTTAATTACAAACATAACGAGTCAGTAGCAAGGCTATTAACAGTTAAGTAACATGCAAGAAACATCTTTAATACCTAGGAACTGATGTCATCAACAAGTGGAGAAATGAAAGACCAGTTTAACAGCGTAAGTAGGACATGGGGAATTATCACAGAAACAGGAAATAGACAATGCTGAAAATGCAACATCACGATATGTCTGTGAGCCATCAACAGCTGACTTAACATGAGCGTTTCATCGGCTGTACAACCCAAATGTCTTCGGTTACCAACAGAGAACTGTATCAAACCTTGGTTCTGACCAGAAAAGGTTCCGGTTGGAACAAAGGCAACTATCTCCAGGGTTTGTTCGGCCTATTTGTTTCAATATGGCGCCACTCTTCCCAATCTTGTCTCATCATGGTTTGGGTTAATTATATCACGTCGATACCCACCACTGTCAGGAACCACAAACAATCAACCATGTTTGACCTTGAAAAATCAAAAGGGCCATCTTGTGGATGTTGGTTAAGAACACTGCTCTGGTTAATACCACAGCTAGCAACACTCCAGTCGTAACTAGTGGACAGGACAGTAGGGTCAATGAAACACAGAGATGCCCAAGACGGACACGTGTTGTGCAATAGATAGGAAGTCAGAGGAGGAGGTAAGATCACGGCAATTGTCACCCACAGGATGCCACCTAAAGCAGTTTTCTCTTGAAGTCAAATCCTAATTAAACTACTAGGCTATTCAAAGGCTAGTTGTCAGCTGTGTTGTCTGAGGATTTCAAACTGACATAGAACCTTACAATTTGACTTTTTCAGTGAGCCATTAGTACCTGTATTCTACCTCGTCCAATGGATTCCAATACTCTACTACTACAACACTGTGACATGCATGTCCTGATATCTTGACATTTGGACTGCTAATACAATGTTCTTCAGAAACATTTCCCAACAATATTTCTTTCACTGAATAAAGTTCTTAGGGGAATAATTTAGATATATTCTGTCTTGACAAAGTAGAGTTAATTAACTTCTTTATTTACTGTAAAGGCAATGTTTCGGTATTGTTCTTATACCGTTGTCATTGCAAACATCGCCTTTACAGTAAATAAAGAAGTTATCCATAGGTTATCTCTACTTTGTCATCCGTCAACTTCAAAGTTATACCTATCAAACAGTTCATATTCTGTCTTGATGGAATTTCCCAAACAATCATTTCATAGAATTCTGTTCACCGATAATTTCATAAAATAATTATCAAATTATTTGGAACTAAGAAATATCTGGACTGAAATAATACCATTTGCTGAAACACACAAGCAGGAAAATATACCTTTTATGGATATGATATAGTTAATGTTTCTACATAACAATATTATGTCAAATCATATCTCATTGTTGCAGGTTTACCTGTCAACTTGTCAAACTGCTGAAATGTCATTTACCCACCACGCCCACTGATTCTCTGTTGAGGTAAACCACTTGTTGTTGAATACGTTCATGAGTCATCTCAAGTTGCGGAAACAATTGAGAACAGAGAGTAGTCCAGTGTTGAGCAGTGTCTGCGAGGTGCAGCTTGAAGAAACAATCACAGCAGGGGTAGAGAAGAGGGCGGGGCACCCTTGAGGAGAAGGCGGGGCCACTAGGTGGAGAGTCCAGTGGAGGATGGGCGTGTCCAGAGTCAATCAGCTGCACGTTTTCCCCATTGGAAAATTGAAGACCTGTTCATATCAATGTGGCTTATGCTTGTCACTGATACATTGGCTGACAAACATGAACTTAAATGGCAGGATCTGTCACCATAGCTGCCAATTTTCCCAGTTTAGTATTTTCCAACAATCTTCTTTAACTGACAACAAAGCCAGACGATATGAATCGACTACAATACAATACAGACATGTGATTCCGAAACTCAGTTCATAATTTTAAAGTTTGTTTCTATCTCGACTTAAGCAACTTTCAATAATACCGTGGAGTGTCTCAATTGAACAAATGCAACCCTATAAATATGATGATATACCAGTCGATAAACATGAAGCATTTATAGCTGACGGTGTAAGGCTAAATAATGACCCTCTCTTTATCAGTGTCTATGAAAATTGAAACCTTGTGATATTTTTATGTAGATTGGCATATTCTTAACAGGAATTAAGGACAAAAGTTGCAAATTCGTAACAAAAACATTAAAAAAATGGGACAGTTGGCAGCTATTTGTCACGAATCAAACCTGAAAGTCCACGACGAGCCATGACAAACTTGAAACAGCAAAGGGTTGAAACTGTGGGTATTTCACAGCAAGCCTATTTCCACAGCTTGTTCACAACGCCGGTGTCACACATACATAGGCTACACACCCTTTTACATCACGTCCCAACCCATACTGACGAGGCATGTCAAAGAACGACACGGCTCAACCTGACAACAACGACAGCTTGTTCCTTCACAAGTCCTCCGGAGGCCATTGCTACCTAAGCAGTTGAACACAGCGTGACATGGGCATTGTGGTTCAGACAGAGGTTGTCCTCCCGAGGGTGTCACCAAGATGAACAGCCATGCCCAGTCACAGATCCAGCAGTGGGTGGGCGTGTCTGTCCCTGACGGTGGCTCACCCATCCTCTTCTTCTGGGTAGGGGATATCTGGCTCAGCATCGACTGGTGGGGTTCCGTCTCTGGATGTGCTGCTTTGCTCGGGGGGTGGGGAGCTGCAATAGAGGTCGGAGATCAGTGGTTAATAAATGAACTTGATACTGACCAGTTGAACCTAGAAGGGTCTTGAACTAAAATTTGTATTACAAAATAATCAAAATAACTGTTAAACAATAAATAAAAAAATATTATGACAAAGAGATAAGTGAATTTTATTTATGAATTACGTTTTTCAAAACACAATAACTGAGGTCTCTTCCAACATTTTCTAATAAATTCATATCAGGAGACTGAGTGAATGTTGTTTTACGCCACACTGCCTTGTACCACGACGCAATCTTAGCACTAGGACTTTCACAACTCCCATACTCTAACACAGATTTATGCCCACCATGGTGTAATGACTGCAATCTTAGCACTAGGACTATCACAACTCCCATACTCTAACACAGTCTTACGACCACCATGGTGTTATGACTGCAATCTTAGCACTAAGACTATCACAACTCCCAAACTCTAACACAGACTTACGACCACCATGGTGTTATGACTGCAATCTTAGCACTAAGACTATCCCAACTCCCATACTCTAACACAGACTTACGACCACCATAGTGTTATGACTGCAATCTTAGCACTAAGACTATCCCAACTCCCAAAATCTAACACAGACTTACGACCACCATGGTGTTATGACTGCAATCTTAGCACTAAGACTATCCCAACTCCCAAACTCTAACACAGACTTACGACCACCATGGTGTTATGACTGCAATCTTAGCACTAAGACTATCACAACTCCCAAACTCTAACACAGACTTACGACCACCATGGTGTTATGACTGCAATCTTAGCACTAAGACTATCACAACTCCCATACTCTAACACAGACTTACGACCACCATGGTGTTATGACTGCAATCTTAGCACTAAGACTATCCCAACTCCCATACTCTAACACAGACTTACGACCACCATGGTGTTATGACTGCAATCTTAGCACTAAGACTATCCCAACTCCCATACTCTAACACAGACTTACGACCACCATGGTGTTATGACTGCAATCTTAGTACTAAGACTATCCCAACTCCCATACTCTAACACAGTCTTACGACCACCATGGTGCTATGACTGCAATCTTAGCACTAAGACTATCCCAACTCCCATACTCTAACACAGACTTACAACCACCATGGTGTTATGACTGCAATCTTAGCACTAGGACTATCACAACTCCCATACTCTAACACAGTCTTACGACCACCATGGTGTTATGACTGCCTTGTGGAAGAGGTCCAAGGCTGGAGCAGATACCCCAGTCGTTGATGACATGAAGACTCAAAATGAATACCCAAATAACAATTGCATGTCAAGCCAATCAGAAGCCCATTCAACAAAGTGATTTCAGCACTAAGGTGATCATAACTCCCGTCATTTAACATAAACTTGCCATAGATGTATCTTAAGTGATCTTAACGCTAAGGTGATCACAACTCCCACAGACTTAGTGACATTACTAAGGTCGCTGTATGACGATTGTAAGAAACTGATTCCTATTTTCACTGCCTCTTATAGGAGGTGAAATGGGGTTTAATGTCACATCAAAGATTATTGCACTTATGTTACAATGTGCATGTGTGTGTGTGTGTGTGTGTGTGTGTGTGTGTGGCTGTGTGTGTGTGGCTGCTTGTACTAGTCTGGACTAATGCTGATTTCATAGTGCTAGCCCACTGAGATACCATGCTACAGTTTAACAATATTACCCCACTCAGACACAGAATACTGACTCCAAGCTGATCAGTCCTTGTCCCTTAATGCCAAGCGCAAGGCAGGGTAACAACAAGTACTTTTAATCTTTTAATGTATTTTGGTATGACATGACCGGGGATCGAACCCACGACCTTCCGCTCTCCGGGCAGATGCTCTACCATTAGACCAGGGAGGCAGTCTCTGCCTCTTATGACAGAGATGGAAAGAGGCAACTTACACAAAGATGGGGAACAAAGCATATGGGCAAAGTTGATGTGACTAAGCAAAAGAATCCACTATAAGCAATATGACATTTAGCTGACGTATGTAGAGTAGATTGTATAAGCGAAGGTGGTGCAGACAACTAACGTCACACTTGTGAAAAAATACATGACACAGAGAACAGGAAACACAGCATCGTGGGTTTAGCATACAGGCCCACATTCCACCAAGCGATCATAGTGCTACAACTGTCGTAAGCTGATGTTAAAGCATGGGAGTTACAATCATCTTAGTGCTAAGATTGGTTTGTGTAACCTATCCCAGGGCTACATTCAACATAGTCATCTCAGCACTACTACCGCACAGCAAACTGCGGCGCCTTTAACGACTGGGGCCTCAACACTAAGTAAGTATAGTGAGTGAGTGAACTGAGGCCCAAAGCTGACTTCAGCAGTTTTTTAGTCACATCATCATCATCATCATGATGGTGCATCAGCTTAACGTTGGAAGAAGGCCGAAAGTGACACAGGTCATAAACGGAAGCCCTTTAGTGAATGTAGGAATCAAGGATATGGTACTGACAACCCAAGGATCATAATCTGATTATCATGGGTAAATCTGGGATTACAACACACAAGCCAAATCATCGAGCTTGTCCTCCCATCCACTAAATCCACTCTGACGACCAGCATCGGTTGCTGGGGCCCTATTCTAACCCGGAATCTTTACAAGTTACTGGGGTACTGTTAGTAGAAGGAGAAGGAGATCACACAATTGGGATCCGATGACATGCATCAACCAAGTCAGCGAGTCTGACCACCCGATCCCGTTATTCGACTCTTACAACAAGCATAGATTGCTAAAGACCTATTCTCTACCCAGATCTTCACGAGGATGTAATATTAGTAGAAGGCTACAGAGATCTACACTAGGAGAAAGGCATGAAACAAGCCAGGCTACATGTTGTATATGCAGGATGTACCTTCATCTCATTAGCATTGACACAATGGTTGGATCTCTGAAAGCACCAATCACAGCATGCCAGAATCACAAGACAACAAGCAGAAATCACATTCTAGAGTCAGTCACAGCATACAATTTAGTTCTAAACAAAATCAAATGCAGAGATGCCACCCAGAAATTGAAGAAATTCGGAGTACCTGGGACAACTGGGGTGTGAAACAAACTGTTACGCTTTGATGATTTCAACATCTTTTGTATTGCATTTATCCCTCAAACCCAAGTTAAAACTGGTGATTATGTGTGATTATAACATGGTTGTATATGTGACAATGCAGTGAGGTCAATAACCAGGCTAAATCACTGGTTGTTTTGTCTTACAAAATTTGTAATACATGTCACTTGGAGTATTGGCAGAATTTGGTCAAAAACATCCTAAAGAATCCATCGAAATCATAATGGATGGCATCTCTGGTAACGTGTCTAGGCTCACAAGTGCAAGTGAGACTGTTAATGTACAAGACTGTATCACTAACACAGGACACTCATTCAGTGGATCACAGCACATCTGGTAACGTGTCTAGGCTCACAAGTGCAGGTGAGACTGTTAATGTACAAGACTGTATCACTAACACAGGACACTCATTCAGTGGATCACAGCACATCTGGTAACGTGTCTAGGCTCACAAGTGCAGGTGAGACTGTTAATGTACAAGACTGTATCACTAACACAGGACACTCATTCAGTGGATCACAGCATCTCTGGTAACGTGTCTAGGCTCACAAGTGCAGGTGAGACTGTTAATGTACAAGACTGTATCACAAACACAGGACACTCATTCAGTGTATCACAGCATCTCTGGTAACGTGTCAAGGCTCACAAGTGCAGGTGAGACTGTTAATGTACAAGACTGTATCACTAACACAGGACACTCATTCAGTGGATCACAGCACATCTGGTAACGTGTCTAGGCTCACAAGTGCAGGTGAGACTGTTAATGAACAAGACTGTATCACTAACACAGGACACTCATTCAGTGGATCACAGCATCTCTGGTAACGTGTCAAGGCTCACAAGTGCAGGTGAGACTGTTAATGTACAAGACTGTATCACTAACACAGGACACTCATTCAGTGGATCACAGCATCTCTGGTAACGTGTCAAGGCTCACAAGTGCAGGTGAGACTGTTAATGTACAAGACTGTATCACTAACACAGGACACTCATTCAGTGGATCACAGCATCTCTGGTAACGTGTCAAGGCTCACAAGTGCAGGTGAGACTGTTAATGCACAAGACTGTATCACTAACACAGGACACTCATTCAGTGGATCACAGCATCTCTGGTAACATGTCTAGGCTCACAAGTGCAGGTGAGACTGTTAATGTACAAGACTGTATCACTAACACAGGACACTCATTCAGTGGATCACAGCATCTCTGGTAACGTGTCATGGCTCACAAGTGCAGGTGAGACTGTGAATGTACAACACTGTACCCCAACACAGGACACTCATTCAGTGGATCACAGCATCTCTGGTAACATGTCTAGGCTCACAAGTGCAGGTGAGACTGTTAATGTACAAGACTGTATCACTAACACAGGACACTCATTCAGTGGATCGCAGCATCTCTGGTAAAGTGTCTAGGCTCACAAGTGCAGGTGAGACTGTTAAGAATCTAGAAGGTGCACTCCCTTAACTGAACAGACCACTACAAAGAACAAACAATCATTACAATTATTGTTCAAGGGTTCAAATGCATATTGATGGATTTTCTAAAAAGGCCAAAACATACTATTCTACATTTCCTGAGACAGGTTCTTAAGGACTTCAATGTTGAATGTTTGGAATAGACCCGGAAGACAGGCCAATCATGTGTGAATTCTACGAGGCCTTGATGTCACTTTCTCCAAACACTGATTACAAAACGTATGTCTGAAAGCATTTATTTGTATTTTCATACCCTTCGTCCCAACCAACAGCTTGAGCAAGTAGGATTAAGAACTGGAGCCAAAAGGTTTAAGAGTTACCTGATTCCTCCATCTAATTATGGCTTTAATTCGAACTTTCTTTTAATTTTATTTTGACCACTGACCCATGGTTTGAAGGAATAAAATCTGAAAGAAATGTCCGACTTGGTTATATTTCACACATCAAACAGAGAAAACTTACAACATACTGGTCCTAGCAAACATTCTGGGGTACATTATGTTGAAATGCTCAGGAAAGGTTTTAGCTGTGCAACAGACTACCATGTCTAAGACAATATTTATGACACAGTATGCACCGAAAATAAAGGCAGGAAATTACAGAGCACAATACAGTTCACAAAACCACATCAAACTGTGACGACGGTGAAATGCACACCCATCAATAGCAGGCATCAATGAATGACAGCTTGGCACACCAGTTACCTACCCTAATTGCATGCACAAGCTGCCATATATCTCTGTTAGCATGAAGTGAAGAAAACAGATACATTGTAGAACATGGTTAAATTCAAACAGGACTTTAGGTTCAGATTTCAATTGGTTATAATCCTTTTGACACCAGATTTCAAATTCAAAGATGTCCCTACACAAGATCATATTACAATGTACAACAGTGCAAATCAATGTACCACATTACGGCAAGCAGTTGTGTCCTGTAGAACTTCAATCAGTTCAACTTATTTATGTTTGGCTCTGATCACTTCGACATTCAGTTGTCATTAGAACCAATTGTGTTTATTTTGTTAGCCTGGGGTACTTCCTACTAAAGTAAGGTTCCAACTACCGTATTCGCCATAGTAAGCCCCTGACCAACTTCTACACCTATCTGTTAGTAAGCTTTACAAGCACCCCAAGAAGACCAAAAGTGACAGTGCCTATTTTCTGGTGTGTATGACTTGATACCCAACGACAACAGCAGCTCAGAAGGGCTTTATAATTACAATGGGATTATTATTGACAAAGATTTAGTTTCATCAACATTTGAACTACTGCTCGATCTCAGTAACCTTTTGTGTTGTCTTACTAAGCACCCACCACCTTTGTCCATTTTCTAAGCACCACAGAGCTCATTACGGGGAATACATTAGGTTCCAAGGGTATGTTATGTCAGTAAAGGGTGCACTCCATTCCCATGCCCGGCATGGGCTGACGTAAACAACCTACCTATCTGCTGCATCAGCCGACAACTGTCGACCCTCCTTCTCCGTCTTCCTCTGATAGTGAGACCTGAAACAAGGCACAGCAGCATGGTAGTAGTAGTAGTAATAGTAATAATAATAATAATAATAATAAGATCCTGGCATGCCAAGGGACACAACTTTTCACAGGACCTTAGACCACTGGGCTACCATAACAATCTGGGCTTCAAACCATGACCAGCAGATCCTGGCATGCCAAGGGACACAACTTTTCACAGGACCTTAGACCACTGGGCTACCATAACAATCTGGGCTTGAAACCATGACCAGCAGATCCTGGCATGCCAAGGGACACAACTTTTCACAGGACCTTAGACCACTGGGCTACCATAACAATCTGGGCTTCAAACCATGACCAGCAGATCCTGGCATGCCAAGGGACACAACTTTTCACAGGACCTTAGACCACTGGGCCACCATACTGGAGGTGAAGACACACCTGTATCTCTGCTGGATGATCACGGACTGGTTGCGGCCCTTCTTCAGTCTCTCCGGTCCTTGTCGCTGCAGGCCAGCCGCAGGGTCTCGGTTCTTCTTGAGACGTTTCTGTGCGTAGTAACTCCGGAACTGATTCTGGATCAACACTGCTGCCTGGGTCATCTTCTTGAAGTATGCATACTGAAATATACAGAGTGAGTGAGTGAGTGAGTTGGGTTTAACGCTGCTTTGTGCAGTATTTTAGTTGTATCACTGAAAGTATGCCTAACATGGCAGAAAAAATCAAACCACGTAGGCGGTCTCCGGGCAGATGCTCTATCCTATAGACCACGTAGGCAGTCTCCGGGCAGATGCTCTATCCACTAGACCACTCAGGCAGTCTCCGGGCAGATGCTCTATCCACTAGACCACGTAGGCATTCTCAGGGCAGATGCTCTATCCACTAGACCACGTAGGCAGTCTCCGGGCAGATGCTCGATCCACTAGACCATGTAGGCAGTCTCCGGGCAGATGCTCTATCCTATAGACCACTCAGGCAGTCTCCGGGCAGATGCTCTATCCACTAGACCACATAGGCAGTCTCCGGGCAGATGCTCTATCCACTAGACCATGTAGGCAGTCTCCGGGCAGATGCTCTATCCTATAGACCACTCAGGCAGTCTTCGGGCAGATCCTCTATCCACTAGACCACATAGGCAGTCTCCGGGCAGATGCTCGATCCACTAGACCATGTCATCAGTCCTTACCAACATGAAAGAGTGTCAGATAATTTTCTAACAGTATTTGTATTGCCTCTGATACAGGAGTGATAACTAGAACTGACAAATTCACCGAAGGTTCATGGCAGAGCGATACTTTGTGCCAGGAGTCCGCCAGTACCTGTTTGTATCGCCGATAGTAGCTCTGGATCAAGATGGCGGCTTCTATCTCCTTCTGTCGCTGCTGCTGCAGTTGTTGTTTATCCCGATACAGCCGATACGCATTCTGGATCACCTTGGCAGCCTCGTACAGCTTTCTCTGTTCCTGATCTGAATAGAGAGAAGGATACTTATGAAGTGGTAGAAGAAGATTATTGTTAAATAATTCCAGCCTTATCAGTGCGATCTCTTGACAACCAAGTCTGAATGACTAAGTCAGTGGTTGATAATAGGATCATTATATATTCAGGGTACATCGTAACCACCCAATCATAATATGGAACTACTCTATCCTGGAATCTCTACAGAAAGACAAACAGTTTCAGTTTCATGTTGTTTAACACTGCACTCAGCAATATTCCAGCCATAAGACTGCGGTCTGTAAATAATCATGTCTGGACCAGACAATCCAGTGATTGACATGAACATCGATCCACGCAATTGGGATCGATGACATGCATCAACCAAGTCAGCGAGCCTGACCACCTGATCACGTTAGTCGCCTCTTACGACAAGCGTAGTCGCCTTTCACAGCAAGCATGGGTTGCTGAAGACCTATTCTACCCTGGATCTTCACGGGTCAGAACGACAAACATGGGAGGCTGTGGACCTTCTCTGTCCTGGAATCTCCACAGGGGTTGGCAACCGTGTATAGGGAAGTGTGGACCCTACCTGAGAGTGTGAGTTGGGAAAAGTCCTTCTCCATGTACGTGGCTGGTGCGTTGAAGTACTCGGTGAAGTCAGCAGTGGTGGGGGGCGGGGAGTCCAGAGTGAAACTGTAGGAACTGTAGGGGCTGTAGGGGCTGGGCAGACAGGTAGAGTCCGGGCTCAGGGACGAGGCAGGGGTGCCCAGGTCTGTGTACCTGCAATACAAAAGTCGGGAATACAGTGATGGGAGTTTTAGGTTGCTTTGTCATCATTCAAGTCTTATCCAGTCCATGTATCATGATGTATCTGGCCTACAAAAATGTTTCTACCTGTACTCATCAAAGGCCAGACTATCTGTCATGGGTGTTGAGATTCCAGAATCATCCCCGAAGGATGAGGTGGGAGGTGAGCCTTGAGACGGGGCCGAGCTGTAGGACTCACTCCGAGCTCGACTGCTCACTCCACACTCTTCCTCCTTGGCAGGAGACAGCTTGATACGCTCTGGCATGGCTGCGATGATCTGGTTGGCAAGGGTTACCATTTGGTTCTTGCCTTCATGATCCCCACCTGGAACAATTTGGTACAGAATTTGTATAACGCCACACTCAGCAATACTCCAGGTATATGATGACAGTCTGTAAAGATCTGGACCCAGCAAACAATTTGGTACAGAATTTGTATAACGCCACACTCAGCAATACTCCAGTTTTATGATGACAGTCTGTAAAGATCTGGACCCAGCAAACAATTTGGTACAGAATTTGTATATCGCCACACTCAGCAATACTCCAGGTATATGATAAAGCCTGTAAAGATCTGGACCCAGGAAACCAGTCAGTGGATGAGGATTAATAGCGTTGTCAGGTACATTAGTCATGTCTTGATTATTCAGTGTACTGTATACTGCTCTACAGAAGTTAAAGGACACCCGATGTTTACCTGTCAAGGATGGCGGGTATGGCAACACCTATTGAGTACTACGGGCATTCTTTAACCTGTTTTGAGTAGTATATCTCAACTCTACATGGATAAATAGCCTTGACCCATTCACTACCAAAGCATCGTTCTGACACTAATCGGACTGTGACACCCGATGTTTACCTGTCAAGGATGGCGGGTATGGCAACACCTATTGAGTATTACGGGCATTCTTTAACCTGTTTTGAGTAGTATATCTCAACTCTACATGGATAAATAGCCTTGACCCATTCACTACCAAAGCCGATCACAGCATCGTTCTGACACTAATCTGACTGTGACCTGCTGAAAATAGCTGTCGAATCAAGTTAATAAATCATGCGACATTCTGTGCTATGTTAGCGGTGAGAGAAAGGGTGACGGCACTTCTTAACTGAAGTTACAGTCATGGTTGGGTCCAGAGTACTTTACGATATCAAAGAACATTATGTGTTTTTAGATTTGTGTGTTTTTAGCCAGAAGTTTTTACATTTGGAACCAAAGGCTTTAGCCTATACTCAACAACACCTACAAATATGAAAACACATGATGTTTATCTTCTAATTTTTCACATCTCAAACAAGTTCAGCTAATACTGCTTGAGTTTAACACTGCTTTGAACAGCATTTCAGTCATATCAGGGAGTGTCAGCTTGATGTGGGAGGGAGCCCCAGGTGACAAAGGTCATAGATGTTTACCACGTCGGTGAAACCCAGGAGCATTGTTAAGGTGCTGACAAACCCAGAAACATAATAGGGCAAACCGGGATTCAAACCCACAACGGAGTTAAGCTTAAACAATACAGTCTTCCTTTAATGCGTAACATTTTTAGATTCAAGAGCAACTCATTAAAGCATGGTGTTTATGTGTGTGTTATGGTGTCTAACCTTCACCAGATGCTACAGCAGCGGCGGCGGCAGCAGCAGCAGCAGCAACAGCTGCCTTGTGTTCCGCCTCCTCGTCAGATGAGATCTTTTCTACATCAATGAAAGGGCTGTCACTCCGCACCGATGATACCTCATCTACAGAGGTACAGAGCTTGCATTATAGACATTACTCATACAGACACTCAACACTGATTACACGACTAAAGAGCAGATCAAATTGCAAATTCAAACATGGCAAATGAAACATTCATCCACAAGAAATGTTAAGAATCAATGAGGTTGGTTGGTTGGTTTGTTGTTTAATGCTGCACTCAGCAATATTCCAGTGTTATGATGACAGTCTGTAAATAATCGAGTCTGGACCAGACAATCCAGTGATTGACAACATGAGGAATCACTGAAGGACATGCAGAGAAACAGGCTGATGGGTCTCTTCCATGTACAACATGTTTCATCAGCACTTGCTGAAATAATAGTAGATATATTTATACTATAACCATGACATGTATCATTGAAAATCACCAATACAAACTTCCAAGACCTTTTTGAGGCCTTGTTTAAGGTATTGTTGAAATGACACACAAATTCGATCATTATCAAGCTTTTAAATCCTGTTACACCCATAAGATCCGGGTTAGAAATGGTCTTCAGCAACCAATGTTTGTCGACAGAAGCGACCGACAGAATCAGACTTGCTGACTTGGTTGTGGCACGTCCTCATATCCCAACTGCATTGATTGAAGTTCATTACGTCAATCACTGGTGTGTCTGGTCCAATGATTACTTACAGACCACCGCCATACGGCTGGTATATTGCTGAGTGAGGCATTAAACAACAAACAGAAAAACAAAAACTGGCAAAATCATGATCCCTGGTTAATTTTCAAGCTGATCAATATCTGCAACATTGCAACACTGTCATACTCCTATTCAACTGACCTGTGTCCATCTGCATGAGGAGACCATCCGTCTCCTTCCCAGACTCCGTCGCTATGGTGTTGAGCAAAGACTCGGTCTGCATGAGAATATCTGGCGATGCCAGATCACGTTGAGCAACTGGTAGCAAGGCAGAGTCCGTCACTGCACTGATTGGATGATCACCAACCAATGACAGATGTGGCTCAGAATTGGCCTCCCGAATTGGCTTCTGAAAAGCGTCATGTTGGGGCGAGGTCTGGTCGTTTGTTGCCCCACTCGGCAATATATCCACCGAATAGCGTTTGCTAAGTTGGCGATGACAGGTGCCAATGACTTGTTCACTGAGTCGCCGGACGAGCTTGGAATCCCCTGGGTAGGGAGGGGGAGGAGGTATGTCGATGTGAAGGTTTTCCTGTTTCTCATCACAAATGTTTTTGTGAGAACTGGGGAATATATGGCAAGGAGTTGGTGACAGGTCACACGCAGTGATAGAGTCCGAGGTTGTGAAAGAAGAAGTTGCGCCAGCAAATGATGCTGTGGATGTGCATGGGGGGAAAGGGGGCGGGGCTTGCAGACGAGCTTGCTCCAACTGCTCGATTTGATTGGCAAGGTTGTGATGTCCCTTGCTTCGGGCAACGGTGAGCGGGAGACGTCCATCCTTGTTACAGATGCTGAGTGGCCCCGTGTTGATATGATACAGCGTCAGTGAAGCGTCAATATTTCCTCTTGCACATGCCCACATCTGAAACAGACCAGTGTGAAGGTAAGCAAGAAATTAAAGTGGTTTAGGTCCCGTTCCACAAAGCGATCTTAGCACTCAGGTGATCGTACCTCCCATACAGGCTTACGACAGTTGCAGAGCTAAGATTGTTGGTGGCAAAGCCATCATCTTAAAGTTTAAAGACTGTAGGATTCCTACACTGATTACAGAAGACAACTGAAACATTCCACCCTCCCGTCATTCACTTCAACAAACTACCAGTGAGTACATCTATATGGTCAGCCATGTATCAATACCATGATTACAACTTGCAAAGTACCATCAAACTTTAGCAGACAAGCTGAGGCCCAAAGCATTCAACACTGACATCAGGAACAAACTAAGCTATGTGAGATTGTCTTGCCAAACAACTCCCACATCTGGTAGCCTTTCACAATCGTAAGTAATCGTAGGTGCAATTGTATCTTTAGAACTGTGAGTGAGTATGGTTGTATGCCGCTTTTAGCAATATTTCAGCAATATCACGGCGGGGGACACCAGAAATGGGCTTCAAACATTGTACCCATGTGGGGAATCGAATCAGGGCCTTCGGGATGACGAGCAAACACTCTAACCACGACCTATAACCAAATCAACATGAACTGGGAAAGTTTGTATTCTCATTCGGGAATGTTTACAGTTGCTGCCAACTTGGTGCCAAATATCGACCTGTGAGCAGGTCTAGATCAATGATCAAGATAATGCTGCAGTAATCAGCTTCTTTGTTCATTGTGAGCAGGTCTAGATCAATTCCTGTCTATGATCAAGATAATGCTGCAGTAATCAGCTTCTTTGTTCATTGTGAGCAGGTCTAGATCAATTCCTGCTTATGATCAAGATAATGCTGCAGTAATCAGCTTCTTTGTTCATAGTGAGCAGGTCTAGATCAATTCCTGCCTATGATCAACATAATGCTGCAGTAATCAGCTTCTCACCAATGGAGTACAGGCATGGTTGTCCACACTGTGAGCATCAACTTCATATTCTAAAACTAAATTAGAGATGTCAGATCTGTCAAAGAAAGAGAAAACAGTATTATCACTCTGCAATCAATCAATCAATCAATCAATCAATCCTTGTGGGGCCCTGGGTAAGAATAGGTCCCCAGCACATCATCATCATCAGCGGCAGCAGCAGCAGCAGCAGCAGCAACAGCAGCAGAGGCTCCTAAGAGGCTCCCCGACTTTCTTTGGGTGTTCAGGCTCAGTGACCTGGTTGATTGCATGTCATTGTTCACCAAAGACGTTTGGTGTTGCTCATAATATCAACCACCAGTTTGTCTGGCCCAGACTTCATCAGTCGCAGGCAACAACGACATAGCTGGACATTGTTCACAGCAGCATCAAACATCACAGAACCAAGGACACATAAAACAGTAATGTTCTCACTATATCATGGCAGCCTGGGAATATTCGTGTCTTGGCCCAGCTTACCAGAGGCCAGTAGCACAACCAACAACCCACAGCATTGGGTTATGATAGAACACAATCAGTCAGCTCACACGCTGTAACTACCAGACCCTCATTTAAGTCGTCTCTTACAACAAGGAAGGGTACGAGGCACCCATTATTTGCGGAATTATGTTCTGGGGACTTTCAAAGAACCAATTCTAAATACATGTTTGTTATTTTCATTCAACTATTCAATCTCCCTGTTGGAAATTAAGCATGGAAGAAAAGGGGTCCCAGTCATAACTACTGCCAAGTTAAAGCTTTAAGGAGAGCCAGGATTCAAACACTATGGAAGCAAACCTCAAGGACACCATGGCTCCCATTAATTTCCAACACTGATTCCTGTACTGGTGCTACCCACCTCCACCTAACAAGTGAGCTGATGAGTTTGGCGTAGCCAAGGGCCGCCGCAAGATGAAGTAAAGTCAGTCCGCCATGGCCAGCCTTGGGGTAAGTCTCCAGTTTCTGCCAGGGTCGACCAGCCAGGTGCTCCACATACTGCACAAGACGACACTCGGTGTTCTCATGGTCAACATTCAGGGCATGCTGGAATAGTGCACAACAAACAAAGTCACAACACTCGTCTCACTCCGGGACAGATTCTCGTTTCAAACTTGTATCTACATTTATTCTGATACTGTTAAATAGCTGTGTGAAGAAAGGATTGAACTTGTTCCCATCTTAAAGGGAGCCAAGGCTCGAGACAATGGTCAGTCCCAGCAAACTCGATTAAGTTCAGGGTAAACTGTTGTAGGGCTGGGATGATACACAACTGTGTGATCAAATACATACCACGATACTTTGCTCACGATCCGATATATACCACAATACCTTGCTCACGATCCGATATATACCACGATACTTTGCTCACGATCCGATACATACCACGATACTTTGCTCTCGATCCGATACATACCACGATACTTTGCTCACGATCCGATACATACCATGATACTTTGCTCAAGATCCGATACATACCACGATACTTTGCTCACGATCCAATACATACCATGATACTTTGCTCACGATCCGATACATACCACGATACTTTGCTCAAGATCCAATACATACCATGATACTTTGCTCACGATCTGATACATACCACGATACTTTGCTCACGATCCGATACATACCACGATAATTTGCTCACGATCTGATACATACCACGATACTTTGCTCATGATCTGATACATATCACGATACTTTGCTCACGATCCGATATATACCACAATACCTTGCTCACGATCCAATAAATACCACAATACTTTGCTCTTGATCCGATACATACCATGATACTTTGCTCACGATCCGATACATATCACGATACTTTGCTCACGATCCGATATATACCACAATACCTTGCTCACGATCCAATAAATATCACAATACTTTGCTCTTGATCCGATACATACCACGATACTTTGCTCTTGATCCGATAAATACCACGATACTTTGCTCACGATCTGATATATACCACAATACCTTGCTCACGATCCGATACATATCACGATACTTTGCTCACGATCCGATATATACCACAATACCTTGCTCACGATCTGATACATACCACGATACTTTGCTCTCGATCCAATACATACCATGATACTTTGCTCACGATCTGATACATACCACAATACCTTGCTCACGATCTGATACATACCACGATACTTTGCTCTCGATCCGATACATACCACGATACTTTGCTCACGATCCGATATATACCACAATACCTTGCTCACGATCCGATACATACCACGATACTTTGCTCATGATCCGATACATACCACGATACTTTGCTCACAATCCAATACATACCATGATACTTTGCTCACGATCCGATACATACCACGATACTTTGCTCACGATCCAATACATACCATGATACTTTGCTCACGATCTGATACATACCATGATACTTTGCTCACGATCCAATACATACCACGATACTTGCATGCACTTTCATCTATCATGCTTAAGCCATCTCTTTCAAAGAGTGGAAGGCCAAATACCTGGCACACTGATGATTTACAGTTGGCAGTGTCATAGACAGGGTTTGTCAAGGAAAGCTCACCTGCTTGTCAAGAAAAGCTCACCTGTTTCTCAAGGAAAGCTCAACTGTTTGTCAAGGAAAGCTCACCTGCTTGTCAAGGAAAGCTCACCTGCTTGTCAAGGAAAGCTCACCTGCTTGTCAAGGAAAGTTGTGTTCTTGTCAGCTGGCATGAGCCTCTTCTCCAGTTGTTCCAACCTCTCCACCAGCAGCAGTTTCATCTCCGTCGCTGAAACAAGAACATAGCAAACATTTACACACTTCTACACATGTACCGAGATTGTGAGGCAATATGCGATGTTGCAGCAGTATCATAATGGCACACAAACAGCGAGTGGGTTGGGTTTAATGCCACTTTCTAGTTACTGGTATTCAGTTACTTCAAAGATGCCAGGGGGCGCTGGGGTAGCCTAGTGGTTAAAGTGTTGCTCGTCACACTAAGACCCAGGTTTGATTCCCCACATGAAGCCCATTTCTGGTGTCCCCCGACGGAATATTGCTGGAAGCAGTGTCAAACCCGACTCACTCACTCACTCACTCAAAGGCCAAAGTGAGGTAGGTCACAGACACAAGGCATTAGTGGAACACCGTGAGCACAGGCAGAATAATTTGGCTGAATCTAGGACTGGAACCTTGAATCAGCTGAGGGGACACAACTCTGCAAACTGAGTGAGTTAGTTGGAGTTTACTCCACAACTGGCATTATTCCAGCAATATAAGGGCGATATCAGCAATGGGTTGGACACATTGTACCAAGCTGGGGAACAGACCTTGGGCTTCTGATTACTGAGCAAACGCTTTAAAGCAGCCCTTTATTGCCACATTGCAAACTGAACTGTGACACCTTCGACAAATGAACCACCCGTGTTCCAAAATCAGTGTTCAAAACAAAAGGGGGGCCTCTGGTACTTGAATCTTTTGACTTCTAATATGAGGAAAATCAAAAGTCCCCTTGACTGTCAAGCTTAATTTCCAACACTGCAAAATATACCGAGGTACAACTACTCACAATCCATTGAGAACCATTCGTTGTGAGCTGACTGCGTGCTGTGCTTCTCCCGAGCCTTGTACTCGAACACCTCACTGTTGGAGATGACAAACCCATCATTGGCCACCTGCAGCGTTACCAGGCCGGCGTCATGTGCTGCAAGACATCAGCATCATATGACATCAACGTTCCATGCAATTAGGGTATATTAACACGCAAACAACCAATTCACTGAGTCTGTCCACCTGCAGCGTCACCAGGCCGGCGTCATGTGCTGCAAGACATCAGTATCATATGACATCAACGTTCCACGCAATCAGGGTATATTAACATTCAATCAACCAATTCACTGAGTCTGTCCACCTGCAGTGTCACCAGGCCGGCGTCATGTGCTGCAAGACATCAGCATCATATGACATCAACGTTCCATGCAATTAGGGTATATTAACATTCAATCAACCAATTCACTGAGTCTGTCCACCTGCAGTGTCACCAGGCCGGCGTCATGTGCTGCAAGACATCAGCATCATATGACATCAACGTTCCATGCAATTAGGGTATATTAACACGCAAACAACCAATTCACTGAGTCTGTCCACCTGCAGCGTCGCCAGGCCGGCGTCATGTGCTGCAAGACATCAGCATCATATGACATCAACGTTCCACGCAATCAGGGTATATTAACATTCAATCAACCAATTCACTGAGTCTGTCCACCTGCAGTGTCACCAGGCCGGCGTCATGTGCTGCAAGACATCAGCATCATATGACATCAACGTTCCATGCAATTAGGGTATATTAACACGTAAACAACCAATTCACTGAGTCTGGCCACCTTTGATCCAAGATGCCTCTTACGACCAGCATAACAATCAAGTCTGGGCCCACAATCCACTGATTGATATCATCATCAACAATCCATGCCATTGTGGTACGATGACATGCATCTACCAAGTCAACAAGTCTGACCATCCAAGTCACCTCTGGCAACCAGCATAGGTTGCTGGAGACCCATCCTAACCCGGAATCCCCCTTTAGAAGTGTGAGATACTGACCTGGAGTGAAGCACCGGAGAACCCCTGCCTGTACAAGTGTAGCAGGCACCGTCTTACTGTTGAACACAACAGAGTAGGACGTGGACGTGGAGAACCATGGGCCTGTCACCAGGATCTTTGTGCCACCCTTCCAACATACAACAACACTCAATAACATCTCATCAGTCACTGCCAACACTATCACAGGCATGTCAACCCTAATCATGCTGATTATTGATTATTGATGATAAATAATTTAACAACATTTTGGAGGTACAGTAAAATATGTTTATAACGAATAGGTTATAAGGAACTAAAATCAGTGGCCCCTTTGAGTTTGTTATAACCGTCGTTTACTGTACACCTCACAGCTACCTCAATGTACTTGCTCTCAAATCATAAACTAGAACACATCCCGATAAGATTACTCAGAAGTGGATTTATCATATCTGTCAGCAAGTGAGTTTGGTTTTTACACCGCTTGGAACAGTATTTCAATATTATCACAGAGAGTCAGCTTGGTTTGGGTGGAAATGTGAAACTCTATGCCCCTCACATCTGTGTAGCACCAGTCAGGGGAGAAGTCTGTGATGACGCCCTGAGAGAAGCTGCTGTCTGTGTCAGTCTGTGAGTGAGTGTTGTCTGCTGTCTGCGTGTCTGACGTAGCAGACGTCGATGTTGAAGATTGATGCGACTCTGCCCGTTGCTGCTGTGATTGTTGAGCTTGTTGGTTGCTGAGGCAGTTAGCACAATTGATGAGCGGGACAGAAGTCGGCATTCCGCCACTTGACGTCCCGAGACTTGCATTTGTGTCGGGCAAATCAGGACAGTCATAAAGTTCGGGCAAGTCGAGAAGATAATCAAGATTGAGATCAGTACTGGGAAATGAGGAAAAGCTGCCATCAAGAGTATCACAATTATCAGTCCCCGAATTATCTTTCACTAGTGTTCCCACAGTGTGCGAGCAGTCCCCGCGAATGAGCGAGTCTAATGTATTGTGGAGATTTCGCTGAGTATCTGAGATTGTAGCTGACATTTGATCGAAAAAAAGATCCTTCGAATCCTGCGGGGTGCCTGCCAGCTCCAACAGAGCATCACTTGCAATATTCATCGGAACGGGAGACTTTCTGTTCGAGTCATGCGCATGGAGATTGTGAATATGTTGTGACAATTTATCATCCTGCTTGACACCAGCAAGCACTTGGGGAATGGTTTGGAGTATCTGAGGCTGAGGGAAACGGCCCTGCGTGTCCAGGGTTGCCGCGGTGATGGTGTGAATGGGCGTGGTGAGAGAGTTGTTGATGATGGAGATGGGTGATGTGTTATGTCCGCTGACAAAGATCAGACCGTTACTGCCGTGGAGACTTGCTAGGTTTAGAATGAGAGGAGCAGGAGCTGCAGCTGTGTGGTTCAAGTCTTGAGTGGAGTTGGACGAGGGGGCCGTAGTGGGCGTGATCACCACCTGGCTGGTGTGAAGCTCGGGAGTGGGCGGGGCTACCGACTGGGTGGCGCTGCGTTGGGTGTGGCGCTGCAACATGGACACTAGGCGATTGTGTGCCAGGCTGGCTGTGTTAGGAGGTGATGAGTCCTTGGTGCATTTGGAATGAGGAAAGTTTTTGTCACAGGAAGGAGTGCATTTGTGGGGTTTGGCTTTGCCTGATTTGTCCTGCCGAAGGTTAATCAACTGTTGAACAAAGTCTTCAATTGTTTCTTCAACCTGCAAGAAAAGGAACAATATTGTAACCGTGCAACAAAACCTTTTCTAGGAATATCAACCCTTAGTGATACCCCGAGTCAGTTAACACAACGTCAACACAACAATAGTGATTAGACGTCAGTTTGTTACTGGCAAACTGAATATCTGACTAGTTCTTGTTTCATCCCCTTAATGCCGACTGCCAGGCAGGGTAACAACAAGTACCATCTCAAGTACACTCAGATACAGCATACTGACTCTGAGCCCACCAGTCCTTGTTTCATTTATGTAATACCGAGTGCTAGGCAAGGAAACAACAAGTACCATCTCAAGTACACTCAGATACAGCATACTGACTCTGAGCCCACCAGTCCTTGTTTCATTTCTGTAATACCGAGTGCTAGGCAAGGAAACAACAAGTACCATCAAGTACACTCAGATACAGCATACTGACTCTAAGCCCACCAGTCCTTGTTTCATTTCTGTAATACCGAGTGCTAGGCAAGGAAACAACAAGTACCATCTCAAGTACACTCAGATACAGCATACGACTCTGAGCCCACCAGTCCTTGTTTCATTCCTTTGATGCCGAGTGCCAGGCAGGGTAACAACAAGTACCATTTCAAGTACACTCAGATACAGCATACTGACTCTGAGCCCACCAGTCCTTGTTTCATTCCTTTGATACTGAGTGCCAGGCAGGGTAACACTCTGGTAACACTCTGGTAACACTTTTGGTAAAACGTGGCCAGAACCTTCTCCTCTCTTTGCAGGTGCTCCATCCACTACACCACAGAGGAAGTGCACAGTGAGTGGTAAAGTCGTAGACTGGAGCTTAGGGAGAATCACTCAGTTGGGTTTAACACCTCGTTCAACGGTATTTCAGTTATATTACGGCTTGTCACCTTAATGTGGGAGGAAAACCCAAAGTGATGCAGGTCTTAGTGAATATGGTATTACGCCGCGTTTAGCAATATTCCAGCACTATCACAACGATGGGCTTCACACATTGTACACATGTCGGGAATCGAACCTGGGTCTTCGGTGTGACGAGCGAATGCTTTAACCACTAGACTCCCCGGCCGCCCCGATGCAGGTCTTAGATGTTCACCACTTTAGTGAAAGCTATAAACGTGTGGACAAACCTAGAAACATAATCAGAGTGAATCCAGGATTCAAACCAACGATCATAGGTTCCTGGCAACCCTAAGGGACGCAACTCTGCACGGTATATTTAGTGCCTTGGACTACTGGACCACCCATGCCTGTGATGTTAATCAGTATTTCTGGGAATCAGTCAAGTCCTGACAGTAATTACTCTCGTCATCAAGATTAATGATCTCACCATGTGTTCTTGCTCAGGACCAAGATCCACTCTCCTGCCACACGCCACTACAAGAGACACAGTTACAGCTTCATTTCAAGGAGTATGACTGTTGTTACTACAATATCAACATCTATACAAGGAATACAACAATGTCTTAAGCTTTTAATTCTTTCTGTCAGTTTCTGACATCAACAATTGAACTCATGTAAGTTTTCAACATCAGACAATGTCTGACATTGTGTCACCATCGGGTTGCATATTAACTGCCCAAATTATCTCCCTTAGTATCTCCCAGTTTCACAAAGATTGGAATGGTTCCTGGGATACAGGTATTTTGTCTTCTAATTCTTTTAGTATTATGACGTAGCATTCATAGAATATGTATCAGAATTTGTAACTATGTTTATTGGCATATACGCTAGGCGTCGTGCCTCAGTTTGGATCTTACCCTATATAAAACAAGTTGTTTTTCAGTGTCTTGCAATGAACACACAAATAAACAATACACTCTTTCACTGCTTCAAAACATAGTCCAGGGTAATTAACTAATCTTTGTTTCTACTAGTCTGTACAAATGATCTGCTTTACAATTGCCATAGTGAGTGAGTTTGGTTTTACGCCGCTTTTAGCAATATTCCAACAATATCACGGCGGGGGACACCAGAAATGGGCTTCACACATTGTACCCATGTCAGGATTCGAACCCGGGTCTTCGGTGTGATGAGCGAATGCTTTAACCAATAGGCTACCCGACCGCCCCACAATTGCCATGGTAACCACGGCAGTCATTGATAGGAAATGAGTCCTTCCTGAAGTTTATTAGTCTTGGACTAAGAGATAACATTTCAATTAGAATTGGTCTTCAGCAACCCAGATTAACAGGTGCTCCGACTCGCTGACTTGCTTGATTCATGTCACCATATCCTAAATGCTTAGATTGATGCTCATGATGTCAAACACTGGATTGTCTGGTCCAGATTCGATTATTTTCAGTTTGAAATCATACAGCTGGAACATTGATGAGTGTGGCGTTAAACAAGAAAGCTAATTCCGAAGCCCTCTGTCAACTCACACATCGGCCTGAGCTGATCAACAAGTTCCTCCTTGGTCCATTCTTTCTTCTCCATGTCGTAAGATAAAACAGGAATGCTCAGTTTGGTGTTGTCAGGGTAGGGGACATTCAGGTAGTGGACAAGAACGATGTCAGGATTCTGAAACAGGTCAGGCCATACAGGTACACAGGTACAATATATCGCAAATTGTCCATTTCAATATTATTTAAACTAATACAGGTGTGTGGGTTGCGAAACGTAATGTAATGTGAGTGTCTTTCCAATAGTCAACTTTCCCTTATGTCTTTGAGCTACAATCGAGCATGCCCTTTCTTCCAAGATTTCAAAGAGCGTCATACGACTCTTGGTCAGAAGTTGTTTGATCAAGGTTACAACATTCAATCCTGTGACTGATATGAATAATCGATCTATGCAACTGGGATACAATGACCTGCATCCCCCAAGTCAGTGAGCCTGACCACCCAATCCATGCTTGGGTAATCGGGTCGAACCAGGATTCAAACCCATGAACAAACCCATGTTATAGTACTAGGCCAGTACTTGGTTTTGCTCCTCAATGCCCAGCGCCAGACAGGGTAACAACAAGCACCATCCTTTACTGTCCCACCCGGGGATCGAACCACCGACCTTCTACTCTCCCAGTCTTATAAGCATGTGAGTGAGTGAGTGAGTGAGTGAGTGAGTGAGTGAAAGTTGAACACTGAAGTCAGCAATATTCCAGCATTACCACGGCAGTACATAAACGAGTCTGGGACATGGTACATGGGCATGGTATATGGGCATGGTATATGGACATGGTATATGGACAGGTATATGGACATGGTATATGGACATGTAGTGATGAAACACTTCAGATGTTGCTGTCATACTTTGTCTGGCACAACAGCACTTGTCCCTCTGACAGACATTGACTGAAATATCAGAAAGCTCCCAAGCAAGTGTACAAAACTATGGCAAATCTAGATTTCTCCTGAAAAAGAAGAGATTTTCTGGAATCCTTTGTCTCATATGTTGCCATGGTTGCAAGACAATTGAAAAAACAAAAAACATCAATATAGACCTAAATGTCAGCGGTAGTAAGCACCCCGGGAGATTGGCAAATTGACAAAGGTAGGGGGGCGCTTATTGAAACCACAAGTTACATTTGTTGCCAGAGACATCGAGACACGCGAAACTTTAAAGAAATGGTATGGATTTTAGATAAATGAATTTGGATAAAAAAAAGAGATAGCTAACCCATGCCCTACCACATACCTAACCCTAAGGATCGTATAGGGGTGCTTGATCAGAAAGAGGTACCTAACCCTAAGGATCGTATAGGGGTGCTTGATCGTAAAGGGGTACCTAACCCTAATGATTGTAAAGGGGTGCTTAATCGGAAAGGGGCACCTAGCCCTAATGATTGTAAATGAGTGCTTGATCGGAAAGGGGCACCTAGCCCTAATGATTGTAAATGAGTGCTTGATCGTAAAGGGGCACCTAACCCTAATGATTGTAAAGGGGTGCTTGATCGGAAAGGGGCACCTAACCCTAATGATTGTAAAGGGGTACTTGATCGGAAAGGGGCACCTAACCCTAATGATTGTAAAGGGGTACTTGATCGTAAAGGGGCACCTAGCCCTAATGATTGTAAAGGGGTGCTTGATCGGAAAGGGGCACCTAACCCTAATGATTGTAAAGGGGTGCTTGATCGGAAAGGGGCACCTAACCCTAATGATTGTAAAGGGGTACTTGATCGTAAAGGGGTACCTAACCCTAATGATTGTAAAGGGGTACTTGATCGTAAAGGGGTACCTAACCCTAATGATCGTAAAGGGGTGCTTAATCGGAAAGGGGTACCTAACCCTAATGATTGTAAAGGGGTACTTGATCGGAAAGAGGCACCTAGCCCTTATGATTGTAAAGGGGTGCTTGGTCGGAAAGGGGCACCTAGCCCTAATGATTGTAAAGGGGTACTTGATCGGAAAGAGGCACCTAGCCCTATAGATCATAAAGGGGTGCTTGATCGTAAAGGGGTGCCTAACCCAAATGATTGTAAAGGGGTGCTTGATCGTAAAGGGGTACCTAACCGTAATGATTGTAAAGGGATACAAGATCGTAAAGGGGTGCCTAACCAATGATCGTAAAGGGGTGCTTGATTGGAAAGGGTTGTAGGTAACCTAACCTAACCTACCCAAAACCTGTGAACTGAGTGCCACAATCAACAGCCTGAGCCAATAAGTGCTAATTAAGCTGGGCCCAGTAAACTGCATTGTTGACAATAACAGTTACTCCTTCACCATTGCTGTAATATACACAAACAAAAAAGGACCTGTCATGTAAATCTATTTCGGGATTATCTATATTCGACCCCAAGTCCGCAGCAAAAGACAGTACAAATTCCCAAATTGGAACAATCTTACAATTTCTTTCCCAATTGGATTGCCAAGGGAACAAACAGAACCTTGTTTGGAATTCCAGATAAATCCTTGCTTTTATTAGAGCAGGGTGCTTAATACCACAAATACAGTATACCTCATGAAAAATACTACTGAGTACAAGGAGACCAAAGTATAAAATTGCCTACCTTTCACAATCTTCCATAAAGAAGAAAATATCAGGGCTGTGGTAAGTTGTGTCAGGAGATTGTGTCGGCGCCGCACAGCCATCTTGGGTCTGCAACAATGTCCAACACAATGAGCACAAGTGATTCACGGCCAAAACAAGTTGAAACATAATTACTCCACCACTCTTCATGCTCTGATACCTTGGTAACCAACCAAAACATCAATTTCTTGGAAATTTAGATATAAAGGTCTTAATAAAGACGTCACTTTTCCTGGTTCATGAAACTGGAATAATTACAGAACTGTTACCATGGTTACAATCAAGTGGTAACACAAAGAGACTAATGTCAACAATATTATTGACTTTTACATAAGGTTTTTAGAAAAAAACAGATGTTAAAGTAATAATCCATGATACAACAAACAGGACAGGATTGGGAGAGGGAGGGCGGGAGGGGAACCAGGGGGGAGAGGGACGAGGTTGTGTGACGTCGGTTCGGCAGGCCTGTACAGCAGCAATGGAATAAAGACAAAGAACTTGATCAATGAATGGAGCATAATGGTTTGGTTTGGTTTGGTTTGGTTTGGTTTGTTGTTTAACGCTGCTCTCAGCAATAATCCAGCTATATGACGGCGGTCTGTAAATAATCGAGTCCCAGACAATCCAGTGATTGATATCATGAATGGAGCATAATGAATGCATATGTTACCCAGTTCACAATTGCTCACACTGACTGAAAACAATGAAGGAATCTGGGTCAGTATCTTTGTATTCGTAAGAACATGGCTGACAAAACTTGTATTGTCATCAAGTTTACAACTTGGCATTGTGCAACGATATAGCATACAACTCATCGACTATTAAAGGAATAGTTTCAGTAAAGTGTCTATGTACCTACTTAGTTCTCTCTGTTATGTATAGCAACACTGGTCTAGATGACATGAGCCACTTTTACAATAGTTATTAATCAACAGAATTGTGAACAGGATCAAAATTAACTTTTAATAAACATCAGAACCATAAATCCTATCATTATTATATATTATCCATTATTTACAGTACAAGAAAAGTAGCTATACTTCAAGCAGCATGCACTTGGAAATGAGTTTGACAGAAACTCTTCTTTAAATATCAAGTGTTTTACATGGAAATATACTACAGAATAATACCCCAAAATGTACTATGATTAATTATGGATATCAAGACATTACACATGAATTATAATAAATGGATTTTGAGTGAAGAGCATAACATTATAACATTACAGTACAATTGAAGCGCCCTGCAAATCATTACTTAAACAAGACAACCAGAGTTGTCTCCCATACCCCTGGGACAGATAGATATACCAAATGACATAGAGGGGAAAACTAACAACATGTACACTAGCCAGGGACATAGTTTATACTTTGATTCTTCAAGCTTCAATATCTACTAGATGTGTACGTGACATGGCGGAAAGTCACGTGACCTCAACAACCCACAAACACCTGTCTTTGGACAAAATACTGCTTGCATCCTACACTAACTTAGAACATATTGCCAAACAGACAGTTTATACAGGTTAGGCAACATAATCATCCTATATGCATAACTGGAGCCCTAAAACTAGGGTCTTTACCATGAAGAACCTTCTCTACCATGTCGTCTGCCAACGCCTACATACCGTGCGGGTAGTGCGAACATGAAATAATGAAATTATTCGAACTAACCATTTTCCAGTGTTTACAAATATAGTATTTTCAAATCTAGGTTACCTTATTATATTATTAGGTACTTTATTACTTATAGTGCAGCCTTATTTCGACCATAAATTGTAATACAAGCCAGAAAACAATGAAGAAATCTGGGTCAGTATCTTTGTATTGTTAAGAACATGGCTGACAAAGCTGCATCAGCCAATGAGGTAAACACATTTGGTCGTGATGTGACGCTAATTAAGTTGCATGAACCTGGAAGACTGACAGAGTTGTTCCCCTTAGCCCATTGCCAAGACAAATGATACATGCTTAAAGAATTACTCTGGGCAAGATTTCCAGCAATGGGACACCAGTATGAGACACCAGTATTAGTTTGAATGTGAGGGGTAGGGGCCTTGAACAAATACATTTCCAACAGAAGAAAAGTACTTTATACAACACATACTCATTATAAAGGGTCGTGTTTTTGTCAGAAATACGGTAGTTGAACACTTAGGTTTGTTTACACTGAAGGGCGTGATGAATGGTGCATGTTGATTAATGATAGCAGAGTGCCGTTCTTATGTCGGATGAAATACGGTAATAATATTGTTTAAACTGTTATAGGGCGCGGTCAGTGTGTGAAGGTAGGCATTGATCATCCATCCATACAAGAATACAGGAAGCACACTGCCTGCTTCTTCGCAACGAAAACACTTGCAACGTGCACCAGAGAGCGGCAGAAACAGGTGACACTTTCTGTGATGAAAGTTAAGAAGTTGCAAACGGCCAAAGGAAGGACAAGGTTTGGAACATGCAATGATGCATGCTTCGTCCCTGTTTTGACAGAATGGCCGCTCTGTGCGGGAAATAAAGACGTTGAGTGAAATATATGAATGAACTTACCTTCAGATGCATGTGCATAATCGTTCCCTCCGTCGATGGAGACGCGACAAGACCGAGGGAGCACGCGTGTGTTTGACGATGCCAGCCAGAGAGAAATTCCGTGTGTCGCCATTGCCAGCTGACGGAGGAAATGACGGCCTTGACATTAGTGATCTCGACTGTGATTGGTGCTTTGCCGCTTCCTTCCGGGTGGCTTGGTGCCGGCTGTCTAAACTGCGTTTTTTGGCGGTCGGTGCAGTGCCCAGATGCTCTCGGCGTAGCCGGTGGCCTTTGAGTGGCTTGGTACCGGCTGGCTAAACTGCGTTTTTTGGCGGTCGGTGCAGTGCCGAGATGCTCTTAGTGTAGCCGGTGTGGCCACGTGGTGGATTTGCGCGAAAAGTGGAAAGAAGTGGTCAAAAATGGAAAGAAGTCGACAAAAGTGGATCTACATGAACGATGAATAAAAGATATTTCCTATGTTGGGAAAAATAAAGTATGATTATGCAATAATTTGTTTTACAGACAACCGAATTGAAGATGTGAAGGTAAAATAATGCAGAGTATAAAACCTGAAGACGAGGTGTAAAATAAATGGTGACAATTGGAAAGAGAGTTAAAGCTGCATTGAATAGCAAAAAGCCGAAATAGCCCGAAAAACAGGAAAGGCAAGAAAGACAAGAAATAAGTATGCCACGAACGTCCAAGAAGTAAAATGAAAGTAGACTCAATATACTGACTTCGTTCTGAAACACTGTAAAATAGTTGCTAAAAAAAAATATATTTTGGTTGTGGAGATTTTTTTTTTAAAAATGTGATGAAACTCAAGTGAAGTGAAGTGAAGTGAAGTGAAGTGAAGTGAAGTGAAGTGAAGTGAAGTGAAGTGAAGTGAGAATATTTGTAACTATATCGTGTTCTGTTCGAAAGCGAAGCGGTAACCATGGGCGTAAAAGCGGGGCCGGAGCGGGGTAAAAGCGGGGCCCGGGTAATGGAGCCGAAAGAAGGGAAAGGGAGAAAAGCGATTAGTCGGCCGATGAAAAGAGAGCGATTCGATTGGCTCGGGTTGAGGGTTGAGAGTTGAGTCGTGGGTTCATGCAATTAGTAAGAAGTCCCTTAAAAAAAGAGTTCCTTCTAGAAAGGGGGTTTGCACCCACTGAAGGTGTTCCTGGGCCAAAGCGAGCTGTGTCAGGATGCTGCGGACCGAACCCGGAGGCATGAGAAGTTCCGAAAGGACCCCGAAGTAGCCCAAATTGGATATCCAGATGGGTGTGAAATGTCTGGAAAACACCCTTTCTATTAATAAATGTTGGGCTATAGCGCGAGATTAACAAGATTACTGGTGGCCCCATTAGCGGTGTGAAATAAAGCATTCTGGCCTATGGGCGTACAGGATCGTTTGTGTGGCCATGGGCTAATCTATTTGCGGGTCATAAGCTCGCAACATGCCCCGTTAACCACCAGTGCAGTCTTCTTCTTGGGGCCTGAAACTGAATAGCATACGTACGATGCACGTGGCATGATATTTCAAGTTTTGTAAATGCGCCAAAAATGCCTAAACCACAAAGACAGATACTATCGATTGATTTGAAAGCAGAAAGAACAAGACTATTTGCTGGATATGAGTAATTTTTCTGGAACGTTATATGTTATATTTACATAGACCTTACCCTATTTCAGTGCACTTTTAGAAGCATAAATATAAAATTTGATATAAAACTACAAAGTTTATATGTCCCTTTACGTGAATGCGAAGCCACGAAACATGTGGACAGTGCTTGACTATGAGCTGCATTTACTACAGGAATGCAGTTGTTATGGATGATCCTACCATGATAAAGAAGTATCGCGTTACTGATTAAAGACAGTTTCCTCTGAGAACGTAACATTGAAACACCTTGCTGTGCAGCGGTTCCGCGTTGTGGCTTCAGACCACGGTTGCCTTGTGAACTTGTATTTAAAGAAGAGGTGACTAAAACTCATACAGTAAGTATGCGTTAGGGAAACTGAACGGCCGTTTTGCTCTGCATAATGTTGAACAATGTTGCACAATGTTGAACAATGTTGCACAATGTTGCACATGATATACTAAAGTTTCATCTGGTTCTGGTGTGCCTGATTTCCGGTTCCGGTTTGTCCTTTTGCGACTTCCGGTGTGCCTTCTTTCCGGTTCCGGTGTGGCATAATTTCCAGTTCCGATGTGCCTGATTTCCGGTTCCGGTTTGCCTAATTTCTGGTTCAAGTGTGGCTAATTTCCAGATGGTTCACCTGATTTCCGATTCCGGTGTCCCACGACTTCCGGTGTGGTCTATTTCCGGGTCAGGTTTGCCTGATTACTGGTTCCGATGTGCTCTATTTCCTGTTCCCGTGTGGCTTATTTCCGGTTCCGGTTTGCTTGATTTCAGGTTTCGATTTGCCTGATTTCTGGTTCAGGTTTTCCCTATTTCCGGTTCAGGTTTGCTTGATTTCCGGTTCCGATTTGCTTGATTTCCGGTTCCGGCGTGGCTTATTTCCGGTTCCGTTGTGCGTCAAGTGGTCAATTTGAGGGGACGTTTGCTGCCCTATGCGTCAGTATGTTTGACTTGTTTCGGAATTGAAGAAGGGCCATATGTTTACTTTTTACACGTATTAATAGGGACAAGGAACGAGTTTTTGGATCAGGAACGGGAGCCAAAGAATTTTAAAGAGTTTACATTCATAACCTGGAACATCACGTGACATCTGCCATAATGGTCAAAAGGTACAGAGGCGAGACAACAGTGACGGGAATAAAAAATATCCTGTGGGTTCTTGGCAAGTCTCAAATCTGAACATTGGTATGTGTACGCTACTTAATTTGCCTTAAACTGGTCCTAAGTAGTATTTTTCTCAGTTTAGCCTCTTCGTTTACCAAAATAAACAAATAATTGCAAATAAATGGAAAGAAGATCAAGGGAAATGCCTGTTAGTGCTATCGTCACCGAGGTACCACAGGAGTAAAACCTACAATGAATTCGTGACTCCATATTTACCGCCATATTCTTCATGGAAATACTGCTGCAGACTGTGTGTGTTGAATAACTATTCTTTACATCGACAGCCTAGGTTCAAGTAGAATCTTTATTACAAAGGTTTGTGTGTATATAAGTTTAAACTGTCAGAGTGGTGCCACTACTGGCCTTGTAGACACCCTAACAACAAATAATTTAAATTCATGATTTTGATTTGAATTCTGAATCAAATTTAAATGTCTTTTGAAGTGCCAACTTTGTTCATTTTCTTGCATTTTTAACACTTTTCACAGCACAGCACAGCACAGCACAGCACAGCACAGCACAGCACAGCATAGCATAGCATAGCATAGCATAGCATAGCATAGCATAGCATGCTTTGGACACATGGCTCCAGAATGTGAAACGTAGACCATTTCGTCAGGGGGGCGCAATGTTTACAGAGAAGATAGAACTAAGATGAATTTAACCTAAGTAAACATACAGTGTGCACTCATGGAGACGCATGTGCTGTTTGTTCTGATTCCAAGGATCACCTCACCCAAACAACAGCTAAGTAATGGAGAAAACACAACTCAGAGGTTTTGGTAGAGAATGTAAAACCTCGGGAGGAGGGAAATCTCGAGGGGCGATAGCCCCGAGGGCTTTCTCGACTCCCGAGGTTTAACATTCTCTACCAAAACCGAGGAGGAGTGTTTAATCCAGCTTAGAAACCGTTAAACGTTTAGAATTACTGTAAATTTAATTGTCTCCCATTTAGGGCACTATAACGGGGATTTACTACCTCGCTATTGCCAGGATAAGCGTATAGAAAGAACCCGAACCGTGCACGTGGGATACATGCGGTAAGAACACGTGGTTGTCTTTCTCAGTTGAGTTCGAGATGTGAGCGAGGAGGAAGGCGGAGACCTATTTCTGGAAGTAAGCGAGCAGCAGATTTGCGAACAAACTGGTAAGTTTAGTTCAATGTATAGGACAGTCCTTTACCAATATTTTATGATTATCACTGTTTCGAATATTATCTGTGAATAAAATGAAACGCCCTTAACAAGCGTATAGAAATGGTTAATTTTTACTAAAAAAATGTATTTTGATGTAACCATATTTTCTAAAGTGGCTTAATGCTTTATAGATGTTTAGAACATACGGTTGTATACTTTGTTGTAATTAACTATAACATATTTTTTAGGGCACCGGAGTAGTGCTGTCCGCATCTACAAACGCACCAGCGACGATCTAAAGTCCAAGGCTGGAAGGTCTATCCCAAAAAGGGTCTCTCTACTTTACATTTAACTTTCATTAAAGGATGTTACTGGCTGTTGTTTTCTGTTGTCTTTGTGCAGAAGTCCGGGTATGTGCCATTAAGTAAGACCCTGTGAAATCAGTGTGTATCGGGAATGTATTTTTTTCAGTGGCGAGACCTGGTATGGAGGTCTTACCTTTTTACAAAGACCCTCGGATGAGGTTTTACTAAATTTACAAAAACCTCATCCCAGGGTTTTGGTAAAAATGTAAAACCTCTTCCCAGGTTTTACCATTGGCAGAAAACACATCTTTTCATAATGGCGATACCCACATAATAGGTTTCTAACCCTAAGAAGATGTTTTGGAACATTTGGCATAAGGACGCCCAAAGGGGTAGCCGAATTAGCCATAGTCAAGGAGCAACCCTTGCCCTGGTTCCCTAACACTAAGACACAAAATGGAGCCCAACCCATGCCCTGGTTCTCAATCCTAAGACACAAAATGGAGCCCAACCCTTGCCCTGGTTCCCTAACCATTGGACACAAAATGGACCCCAACCCTTGGACACAAAATGGTGCCCAACCCTTGCCCTCGCTCCCTAACCCTAAGACACAAAATGGAGACCAACCCTTGCCCTGGCTCTCTAACCCTAAGACACAAAATGGAGCCCAACCCTTGCCCTGGCTCCCTAACCCTAAGACACAAAATGGAGCCCCACCCTTGACCTGGCTCCCTAACCCTAAGACACAAAATGGAGCCCAACACTTACCCTGGTTTTCTAACCCTAAGACACAAAATGGAGCCCAACCCTTGCCCTGGCTCCCTAACCCTAAGACACAAAATGGAGCCCAACCCTTGCCCTGGCTCCCTAACACTAAGACACAAAATGGAGCCCAACACTTACCCTGGTTTTCTAACCCTAAGACACAAAATGGAGCCCAACCCTTGCCCTGGCTCCCTAACCCTAAGACACAAAATGGAGCCCAACCCTTGCCCTGGGTTAGGGCTCCCTAACCCTAAGACACAAAATGGAGCCCAACCCTTGACCTGGCTCCCTAACCCTAAGACACAAAATGGAGCCCAACCCTTGACCTGGCTCCCTAACCCTAAGACACAAAATGGAGCCCAACTCTTGACCTGGCTCCCTAACCCTAAGACACAAAATGGAGCCCAACCCTTGTCCTGGCTCCCAAACCCCAAGACACAAAATGGAGCCCAACCCTTGCCCTGGCTCCCTAACACTAAGACACAAAATGGAGCCCAACACTTACCCTGGTTTTCTAACCCTAAGACACAAAGGGGGAGCCCCACCCTAGCCTTGGTTCCCTAACCCTAAGACACAAAGGGGGAGCCCCACCCTAGCCTTGGTTCCCTAACCCTAAGACACAAAATGGAGCCCAACCCATGCCCTGGTTCCCTAACCCTAAGACAAAAAATGGAGCCCAACACTTGCCCTGGCTCCCTAACCCTAAGACACAAGGGGGAGCCGAACCCATGCCCTGGTTCCCTAACCCTAAGACACAAGGGGAAGCCGAACCCATGCCCTGGTTATCTAACCCTCAGACACAATATGGAGCCCAACCCTTGCCCTGGCTCCCTAACCCTAAGACACAAGGGGGAGCCCAACCCTTGACCTGGCTCCCTAACCCTAAGACACAAAATGGAGCCCAGCACTTACCCTGGTTCCCTAACCCTAAGACACAAAATGGAGCAGAACCCATGCCCTGGTTCCCTAACCCTAAGACACAAAATGGAGCCCAACCCTTCCCTTGGTTCCCTAACCCTAAGACACACAATGGAGCCCAACCCTTGCCCTGGTTCCCTAACCCTAAGACACAAAATGGAGCCCAACCCATGCCCTGCCCTGGTTCCCTAACCCTAAGACACACAATGGAGCCCAACCCATGCCCTGGTTCCCTAACCCTAAGACACAATATGGAGCCCAACCCTTCCCTTTGTTCCCTAACCCTAAGACACACAATGGAGCCCAACCCTTGTCCTGGTTCCCTAACCCTAAGACACAAAATGGAGCCCAACCCATGCCCTGGTTCCCTAACCCTAAGACACAAAATGGAGCCCAACCCTTCCCTTGGTTCCCTAACCCTAAGACACACAATGGAGCCCAACCCATGCCCTGGTTCCCTAACCCTAAGACACAAAATGGAGCCCAACCCATCCCCTGGTTCCCTAACCCTAAGACACAAAATGGAGCCCAACCCTTGTCCTGGCTCCCTAACCCTAAGACACAAAATGGAGCCCAACCCTTGTCCTGGCTCCCTAACCCTAAGACACAAAATGGAGCCCAACCCTTGTCCTGGCTCCCTAACCCTAAGACACACAATGGAGCCCATCCCTTGTCCTGGCTCCCTAACCCTAAGACACACAATGGAGCCCAACCCTTGACCTGGCTCCCTAACCCTAAGACACAAAATGGAGCTCAACCCTTGACCTGGCTCCCTAACCCTAAGACACAAAATGGAGCCCAACCCTTGACCTGGCTCCCTAACCCAAAGACACAAAATGGAGCCCAACCCATCCCTTGTTTCCCTAACCCTAAGACACAAGGGGGAGCCCCACCCTTGCCCTGGTTCCCTAACCCTAAGACACAAAATGGAGCCCAACCCTTCCCTTGGTTCCCTAACCCTAAGACACAATATGGAGCCCAACCCTTGCCCTGGTTCCCTAACCCTAAGACACAAAATGGAGCCCAACTCATGCCCTGCCCTGGTTCCCTAACCCTAAGACACACAATGGAGCCCAACCCTTGCCCTGGTTCCCTAACCCTAAGACACAAAATGGAGCCCAACCCATGCCCTGGTTCCCTAACCCTAAGACACAAAATGGAGCCCAACCCATGCCCTGGTTCCCTAACCCTAAGACACAAAATGGAGCCCAACCCTTGCCCTGGTTCCCTAACCCTAAGACACAAAATGGAACCCAACCCTTGCCCTGGTTCCCTAACCCTAAGACACAAGGGGGAGCCCCACCCTTGCCTTGGTTCCCTAACCCTAAGACACAAAATGGAGCCCAACCCTTCCCTTGTTTCCCTAACCCTAAGACACAATATGGAGCCCAACCCTTGCCCTGGTTCCCTAACCCTAAGACACAAAATGGAGCCCAACTCATGCCCTGCCCTGGTTCCCTAACCCTAAGACACACAATGGAGCCCAACCCATGCCCTGGTTCCCTAACCCTAAGACACAAGGGGGAGCCGAACCCATGCCCTGGTTCTCTAACCCTAAGACCCAATATGGAGCCCAACCCTTGTCCTGGCTCCCTAACCCTAAGACACAAAATGGAGCTCAACTCTTGCCCTAGCTCCCTAACCCTAAGACACAATATGGAGCCCAACCCTTGTCCTGGCTCCCTAACCCTAAGACACAAAATGGAGCCCAACCCTTGTCCTGGCTCCCTAACCCTAAGACACAAAATGGAGCTCAACCCTTGACCTGGCTCCCTAACCCTAAGACACAAAATGGAGCCCAACCCTTCCCTTGGTTCCCTAACCCTAAGACACAAAATGGAGCCCAACCCTTGCCCTGGCTCCCTAACCCTAAGACACAAAATGGAGCCCAACCCTTGTCCTGGTTCCCTAACCCTAAGACACAAAATGGAGCCCAACCCTTGTCCTGGCTCCCTAACCCTAAGACACAAGGGGGAGCCGAACCCATGCCCTGGTTCTCTAACCCTAAGACCCAATATGGAGCCCAACCCTTGTCCTGGCTCCCTAACCCTAAGACACAAAATGGAGCTCAACTCTTGCCCTAGCTCCCTAACCCTAAGACACAAAATGGAGCCCAACCCTTGTCCTGGCTCCCTAACCCTAAGACACAAAATGGAGCTCAACCCTTGACCTGGCTCCCTAACCCTAAGACACAAAATGGAGCCCAACCCTTCCCTTGGTTCCCTAACCCTAAGACACAAAATGGAGCCCAACCCTTGCCCTGGCTCCCTAACCCTAAGACACAAAATGGAGCCCAACCCTTGTCCTGGTTCCCTAACCCTAAGACACAAAATGGAGCCCAACCCTTGTCCTGGCTCCCTAACCCTAAGACACAAAATGGAGCCCAACCCTTGACCTGGCTCCCTAACCCTAAGACACAAAATGGAGCCCAGCCCTTGCCCTCGCTCCCTAACCCTAAGACACAAAATGGAGCCCCACCCATGCCCTGGCTCCCTAACCCTAAGACACAAAATGGAGCCCAACCCTTGACCTGGCTCCCTAACCCTAAGACACAAAATGGAGCCCAACCCTTGCAATGAGATGCATCAATAAATTCACGTCATTTGTTGTGTTTAGATTAAATGTTAGTCAACTTACAGTGTTACTTCAAGTGTTTGAGTTGATTCTTTTGTTTGACTTTGACAGTGACTCAGTAGTTATAAAGGTAACTGAATCGTACACAACAAAGTTTAGCTTAATATTGTAGATACATTATTACTTTGTCAGGCTTTCAGCTGTGTGCAATCTACAGCCTACATCTTACATACCAACTTAGTGAGGCCGTGTACAGTTGATCATATATCTTATAGTCAGGGTTTTACCTTGACTTACAAAAGGGGGGGGGGGGGGGGGGGGGGGGGGGGGGGGGGCAAGGGGACCCCTAATAATGAATTTTAAGGGTCCTTTCAGACAATATGAGGGTCCTGTAAAGTGACGAAATGGTGTAGAGTACTGTAACAGATAATTACTTTACACTGTAAAAACTGTTTGGAATGTAAACACACGCAAGACATGTTTAGCTCTATAAACAACAATGACAACAGTCTCCGCAGCACAGGTAGTAACAAAGACTACCAACCCAGAGCTTGCAGGTCCGTATATAAAACTGTTATTACACATATTCCTTCAGTGTGTTGTTGGCTATTACTAATGACACTTCTCTCTGCTGACAATGAAGTTATACCTGCTTACCGCAATAGGCACTAAACATTGTTAAGTTAGGCCTAAACATGTCAAAATTATGGGACAAGGAACATTTGTTCCAAACACATTTTACACAGTGTAGAGCCTGGAATGAATCAATGACCACGTGGACAGTGGTCATTGTTGGTGGATAAAATGACTGACG